GGTTAAGAGTTGAAGCTAACGTCTACATGTAGATCCAAGATGAGAGTGAAGCTCCTCACCTGCGCAGCTGGTTGAGCACAGCGATGTTGGCGTACATGTAGTAGATGTAGTAGGTGTAGGACGGGTTCTTGTTGATGTCCCACTCCTCTGGTTTAGGACTCTTGGTGGAGAACATGTGACCGCTGTGTTTGGACTCGTCGTCCACGCTGTCGAAGCCCGTCACCTACAAACCAGGAAGAAAACAGATACAACTAGACATGGGTTTTTACGATGTAAAAACAAGTGTGCATTGCCACGTAGCATGTCATTGCAGCATGGCTTTGCCTGCAGCATTGGACTTGCAGAATGAGCTTTGACCAGGATCAAATATGTTTTCTGTACCAGGTTGTGCTTGTCACGTCAGCAGGTGTTTTCAATTAAGGYAATTGAGTGACAACATGATGTTGGAAGAGATTTTTAGTTAAAGTTGCATTAGCTGGGTTTTGAACCCTGATCTCCCTCATGAAAGTCCATGACATAGACCATTAGACAAATGGAGTTATGGCAGAAGGTGGTGGCAGCGGTTGGTTTGTATGTGTGCAGAAAGAGGCTACATTGCCAATACAATTATTGACACTAAACTGCATAATATTACAACAATAGAGCAGTATTAAGACAATATTATAGTAAAACATCCAAATACAATCATATTAGTATTGTAAACACTGAACWATTGAGATKAAATATTATTAAAGTATGGAGCAGTACCAAGTTGAGTCCAGCATGGGACAGTATTGGACCATTACAAGGCCGCATTGACTCCCATTATATGAATTTTGGAATAAAGTTTAAACATTAATATTTCAAAAACTACAAGCTGTACAGGCACCAGAAGGCATAGCAATGATTTGGCACAGGACCTTTACAGATAGAAATTACAAAGGCAGCTGTAGGACAAAGTATGCAGGAGGAGTAGCGTGGCGACTTGGAAGAAGACGGAATAAGTTGAATAATATTAAAGAGAAACAGGAAAACAATAGTGTGCATTGCATTGGCAATGCACACTGACAAACACGCTCCTTCTTCCTTCATCTGTGATGGCAACAAATTTATTGTTCAGCGCAAACCCTGGTTTTAGTTTTCTCYACTCAGTGTGGTCATGTCTGCTGTCCAAGTTGTGCATTTGTTTGAAATTATTTTATTCTTTTTTTTTTTTTGTCTGAGGTCGACCCAGAGCATGTTTGTTGTGGTCCATCCATGACTCACGTGGTTGAGGAAKATGCTGAGCTCTGGGTGGGACTGTGGGTCGATTGTGGCCTGGAAGACGGGGAGGAAAATATTCTCCAACATCTTGCCAAAGTGGGGTACAAAGTTCCTACCTCTGAAGATGTCACTAAGATAAAAAAAGAGATGCAAAAAGTAATTTGGTTAACTCTGCGTGCCAATGTTCTGAAGAGGATTTGACCAAACTTACTAGATCCTGGGAACTTGAATCATCCATTTGAGGTTGGGGGAGAAGACTCTGTGTTTGACGAACCAGCTGGAGAGTTTGGTCCACTCGTTTGGGTTACATCCATAGATGGACAAACGAGGTTCAGCATACTGATATTTGGCATCCTCCAGATCACTGGCTACTTCCTGGCTCAAAAAATGAAAYAAAGGTTAGGTTTTGACAAAATAAGCTCATTATTTGCAGCAAATAATTTAATTTGTCACATTTTATAGTAGAAAGCTTTCCAACGGTCCTGCAAATACCTTGATAATTGTGGCAAAATATTCTCCGTTGATATGATTTTCTGTCTTCAGGTACAGATCACGCAGCTCGCTGGCTCCCACAGGGTTGTACTTGGCATTGAACTTATCAAAACGCTGGAAGGTTTGTCTGCCCTTCAGGAAAAAAAAGGAAAACAAAACATGGATTTGGATCAAGAAAATTCAAAGTTTTTCCACCAACTTGCTGTCTGTTCAGACCTAACTCATCTATTCTTTGTCTAATATAAAACGTACAGCGTGCACATCCAGAGAGTCCACAGTGAGGTCGTAGGGATGCAAGTTGAGAGACTCGAACAGCTCTCTCATAGTGACCTCCTTCCCTTTAAGGTTGTGCACGACACGGTCAGCATCCACACGGTAAGACCGCTTGATGAAGCGCAGCAGATGCTTCTGATTCATGCAGGCGGCTGCGTGGATGTGAGTGTCCACCTGGAAAGCCACAAAAAAAATGATTTAAAGTTGACGTAGTGACTGTCAACGGCCACAAGAGGGAGCCATAGTAGAATGAGCACAATTCATTTAGGAGCATTATTGGTCTGTGTACATCCTGCCTTTTGCCCACCTTCCTGCAGTTGTAGAAATCCCTGTGTGGATTCATCTTCAGCTCCTTCATCTCCTCCATCTCATTCAGCATCTCGTGCACGTTAAACTTGGACATGAGGAACTTCAGACGTCGGTGCGTGTACGTCTTACTGCGAAGACAAGAACGAGCGATGCGAGGCGACATACATTTATACCAACTGAAACGAACTGGAAAATATTCTGAAATGTTTGGAAAATTTGTTGAATTTTATAGAATTTCATTAAACCCTGCAAATCTTAAAGCTCGACTGCAGATGTTCACGTTGAAATTTGCATTAAACTATCAAACCAATCCRGTTCCAAGTTTTCAGATGTAAGTTCAATTTTGGACATCTCCATCGTCTACTCCTTATTCTTGGTCGGGTCATGGGGCAACAGGCCAAGGAGAGAAATCAGGCGTCCCTCTCCCCAAGACGTTGAAATAAATRTGCAAGAAACCTGAAAGGACTCACGTCGGGCCCTGTGCAATGAGAGCGATGAGGAAGTTCATGTCATCGATGAAGGTGTTGTAGTCTGAATGAGGCAGGTCCTTGGGCTCATGTTTGTCAGCAGCGGCAGCATCATTGTAAACGTACATAAGACCGTCCTTCATACGRGCCACGTAGCCCAGATTCTCTGGCAGTTTTGAAGTGTCAAAGGGGTCCTCTCCGGTCTTGGGMGGAGGAGTAAAAACTGAGGGTTTGATAAATAAATAAAAACATTTAAGATATTTGAGCTCTTTCTATTTTTTGTCTGTGTTTATCCTCGTCTGCTTSTCCTCTCACCTGGCTGCACCTGGTCTTCGATTTTGAAAGTCTCCCCCTCCATCTGACGCAGGAACTGGGAGGCTGTTCTTGGGAATCGCTGGTAGGCCAGTCTCATGTACTTCTCCCTGATGGTCAAGGCACGGTACAGACCCTTACATGCCAGCTCAAAGTCATCCATGGTCACCTGGGGAGAACATGGAAATATGAGAAACCCTAATGTTCAGAGGTYGGCACATTTAAAGGTACTCATTGAAAAGGTTATCCCGAGCTGTATCGGATGGTGCAGTTTGAAAGCGTTTTTTCAGATACATTGATATGAAATTCATAAAAATGAAAATGAAGCACTTGGCTGAAGCTCAAGTCAGATGATTGACCTACGTTACTTTATTGTGAAGAGAAAGCTGAGCTTTACCCGCTCGGTCTACATTCTTGAGTTTTTTCCACAGGGTAGCTGGACTCTCCCTTAAAGATGGGGTTAGACGTTCACTTATCTGGGAGAGACTCAGAGTAGAGCTGCTGCTCCTCCTCAACAAAAGGAGACAGTTTAGGCAGTTCAGTGATAAGGATGTCTCCTGGAAACCTCCCTAGGAAGGTGCCTCAGGTATGTTCGACTTGGCGGACACGCTGTCTCACGACTGGCCTGGGAGCATTGGAATTCTCTCAGAAAAGCTGGAAGAGGAGTCCTTCCTGATCAAGCGGCTGGCCCACCACCCAACTCCAGAACAAGCAGAAGATAACAGATGGATGGATGGATGGATGACAAATTTATTTATTTATTTATTTTATACCGTTATTTTACCAGGCAGGTCCCATTGAGATCTCAGATCTCTTTTTCAAGGGAGGCCTGGGCCTGAAGGCAACTTATTGTACATGTTTTGAGGGGTGGGGGAAACCGGAGTACCCGGAGAAAACCCACGCAAGCACGAGGAGAACATGCAAACTCTGCACAGAAAGACCACAGGTCCGAACCCAAGACTTTCTTGCTGTGGGGCGTCGGTGCTAACCACTGATTCGCCGTGCTGCCAAATTTGGCAGAATCAGATAAGCAAAGAATTTTGTAGAACACGTTTAAGTATAAAAGTGGGTTAATCTTTGTGCACCTTTCAATGGTGTCTGTTTTACAGTTTCTCCTTGGTTAAATTTAGTAAACACAACCCTGAACATGAAYGTTATGTGTCTGTATTTGGGTCTTCCAACCACTCGTTTGTGTCTTCAAAGGGTCGAAAAGCAGCTGAGCTTCGGCCCTTTGGAACCATAACGGATGACAAACTTTACCCCAGCAGCGTAGTCTCCGAGGACGGCCACTCTCTGAAAGTCAGGAACGTGCAGGTAAAGGGGTGCGTCCACTTCCACCGGCGCCGCATGAACAGCTGCTACCTGGGGACCGGCAGCTGGGCCGGCTACTGTCCGGCAACGCTGAAGCCTCTTACTATTGATCAAAGGTGAAGTGTAGAGGTTAATTTATGCACTAGTGAGCGTTTTAGAAACATATCTATCCAACTCTTCAATCTATCAGGAGCACAAAGTGACGCCTTCTCTCACCGTTTCTCTGTGTTGTCATCGGTGTGCAGGTGATGGGCCATCTCCTGGTGCAGGATTGGACAATCCTCTGCCACGTCAAACATGGAGATTTCATCGCGGACGTTTTCATCTTTGGTCTCCGATGCGAAGACCTTCTCTGCCAAGGCCCTTATCTTCTCATCGGTCTCTGTCAGGCACGCCAATGGGTTTGTCACGTTTACTTTCAGGGAAGCATCATCATCATCCATCACACCATGCAGCACTGAACCCCACTGAACGATCATCTCARCACGGAGGCACCAACGTAAACCGAACTGGACGTGAAGTTCTACATGTACAGAGTCCAGCACATGCACAAAATACACRACCACAGATCGACTTGGACACTTCCAAACTGTAACTCTGACCTGCAAACACAAAGTCCAGTAGAAGCTCTAATACAGAGGAATATTCTACAGATGCAGCTTCAATACATAACTCCAAACCCATTTATAAAATGACAGGAGTTATGAAGACGCTCTACTTGTTCCATGCACCTACATACTTTAAAACCAGTGCTTTAATGCAACTTATCCAACATGGATATTAAATTTAAACTCTTTTTCTTCACCTCCATACTTACTCTGTTCATCTGATTGAGACACCAGGAAAGTAGAACCACCCAGGATGAAATTACAAAAAAACAAAAAAGGTTAGAAAATGTTATAATGTCAGACATGACGACGTCCAGTTTATTATAAGGTGGGTTATAAGAACATGTCCTCTGTATATAAGATTTAAAACATACATGTTAGACCTTCTTTAGTGATGCAAGCTGTGAAATTAGATGCTGGGTTAAACGTGAGGATGGATAAAATGGAAAACAAATGATCAGTTGGCGTGACKTTCCTRTTTCTGCCTCTAGATGTCAGGAGTSCACTTTAAAACTWAWCTGACTGGTCTTTGTTCTTYTGTAYGTTTCTAGKTTTTTCAAATTCTGTAGCATCTTTTATTTAATGAGAATAAGAATAAAATCTTTACTTTCTTTATCTGCCACCTTCCTGCCTAAATGAGTTCTACATTTGGGTTCTTTGCTGACTTCAGTCTTTTCCCAACTCAAACCTTTGAGGATCTTGTTCCTGCCTTTGATTAAATGTTCACTGATAAAAAAAAAGATATTTATTCCACTTTTTACTGCCCTGCCAAAAGGCGAAGGAGGACAATCATGTGTGACATCTTTAGCAAACATAAAACTGACTCTAACTCAGTCATTTTTACAGATAATGAACTAAAATTCAAGGTTTCTTAACATTTTCAACTCTGACATGAAAGGTGGTGGGTGATATGTGTTCATTCAAGGAATGCTGGGTTTTTATTTCTCTTCTGTTTCAGGTCATGAAGCTACAAAACAGTCAAACGACCTAAAAAAACAAGAATTTTATGTAAATATAATATTTTCCATTGTGTTTCTTATGGAAAAAAGGTTAATTGACCAAGGTTTATGTGTCTAGGTTGTTTTAAAACTCCCTCTCTTTTGTCTTTTGCAGAATTAGCTGTTTAATTTTGGACTCACATGAATTTGATTAGATCTGCATAAGAGACCATCTCTCAGACACACTCTCCTCCAGTTACTGAAAAATTATTACAATAAATAAATCTACTTGGCAACCATAATACTTACAWTTAGAATAACATAAATCCTGAAATCCTCTCTCGTGTCACGGTTGTTATGAAAGATGCAAACTGATAAGTTCCATCCATCATACATCCTGGCTGACACCTAATCAGTTACTAAATTCTGCTCCAGCAGAAATTAATACAGCCTCAAGGTTTTATCATATCACTCTGAGAGCCTGAAGACCAAAAATGGCTTTTTAATGCCGTAACGAGGCGAGTTAGTGTTAAATAAATCACAAATGAAAATTTATTTAATTAAAAGTGGAGCTTTATGTATTCAAAGACACATGAACCTTTAATAAAGTGTCATTCCTCACAAAGAGACAACTAACAATAAAAAAATAAGGAAACAAATTGGAAATATTATGAAAAAGTGAAGTTTTCTCCTCAGTTCAGTGACTGGATGGAGTTTGTTTTACCTGTTAGCCAGAATAAGCCATAAAAAGGCAAAACAACAATAAAGTTATAGTATTTTTTTTAATTAGGTTTTATCATCATGTATAAACTTGTCAAAAAAATCATCCTATTGATGTGAAACATTAAAGCCCAGCGTCGCTCTGCCAAAACTCACCTGGCAGCAGGACTTTCGGCATGGTGACTGTGTCCCGGTGAAACACCTCCTGAGGACTGGRGCGCTGTGGACGGGCACCGGACCACTGTGGAGTGGAGCCCACAGCTGGGTGTGAGYGGTATTAAGATCCCTCAGCCTCACGTGGAATCAGAACATGCTGTGCCCACATGAGATGGAATGGGGACCTGTCCAATTCTATTTTAGGTGGTCTATGTGGAGCCAGGGTTCACTGACAGGCACAATGTTTTGACTCTGGGATGGGTAGGTGTGCGTGTGACAGATTGTATTATATAATATCCTGACACTCATACAGTTTGGAGTAAAATTCTGTGGTAGCTGCTTTGAAGGTAGCAATTCAGTTCATTATATATATATATATATATATATATATATATATATATATATATAGTGCCAATTCATAATACAAGTCAGCTCAGGACATTTAGATCCAGATTTGAAGTCAATTTGTTATAAATTTTACTAAAGGAGTAAAAAAAATTGAGTCAAATCTTCAGATTGTATCAACTGTTTGTCCTGAGCAACAAGTTGGTGACAGTGGAAAGGAAAGACTCCCCTTTAACAAGAACCAGAACCGGGCTGAGAACTGACAGTCATCTGTCTGGACCCACTGGGGACAAAGAGAACAGGAAAGAGACTCAAAACAAAATCAAAAAGATTGTTCTAGGTGTGGTTTAAAAAAATAAACAAAAAACACAGGTTAATGTTAGGAACAAAGACAAATAAAAACATGGAGGTTAGAGCACGTGAAGACAGCAAAAGTGGGAGGAAATGTCAGTTTGCCCTCTAGTAGTTTAAAGTGCCTGTGACATCAAATTTTTGTAATAAAAATGAATGTATTTTTGGAAGGATAACACTGATAACATATTGTAAAAAAAAGATTTCACACCGCTGAGATGAACAGTTGTTGAAATATTTGCATGTGAAGTAACAGGAAGTGATGTCAAAGGAGAATGTCTGCATGTAAACAGAACATTGCTAAAATAGCTAACAACACAGGTTGTAGAGAAGAATCAGATGTTTCTTTAGATTAATTTAATCACTATCATTGAGAGCTGAGAAAGAGTCATATTTCAAATAATATTGTTTAAATAGACAAAAACCAGGGAGTTTTCTTTCTCAAAGAGTTCCCCTTTGATGTCACTTCCTGTTTCACTTCAGCTGAACCAAATTCTAAAGGAGTCAATAACCCAATTATATGACATAACGGAGAAAATCATGTGGATTATGCCAAGTTTCTTAAATATAAATATATTTTCTTTGACTTTTTGTATTTCATGGATGTGCACGTCACAGGCTCTTTAAGTCTACAGCAGCAAAATTAAGGATTTATCAAAAAGGAAATTTTAAGCTGAGTAGACCGGATGTCAGAAACTGGAAGTTGGTTCCACAAGAGAGGAGCTTGATAAGTGAAAGCTCTGCCTCCCATTTTAGAAACTCTAGGAACAAAAGTAAACCTGCAGTCTGAGAGCAAAGTGTTGCGTTAGGAAAATATGGAACAAAAAAATCTTTAATATAAGATGGAGCTAAGGTTTTCAGGGACGAGGGCTGTAAATTAGCTTTTAGCTAGAAGCCTTGTGTGTGCTGCATTTGTTGCCTGTGGGTGATAGTGTTTTTTTGTACTGTCCCTGTAAAAATAAATAAATTCTTCTCTGATTTATTTAATTTTTTTGTTTCACCGTTCTGCAAAATGAAAATAGAAATGGTTTAGTATTTTTAATGGGGTTAGGGTTGAGGCACCAACACCAGAAGATGGAACAGAATTTCAGAKTTGTCATTTTATTATCATATGAAGGATTTTTGATATATATATCATTACGGAAATTAGGGAATTGCCTTCTGATCAACATAATGTAGGTGCTGTTGCCCCCCTCCGTCCCCCCTTTGTGATGCCCCTGACTTGCAGATGTTCACTCCTAACTTTTTGACTTGACAGATTTTAAAAATAGCAACACATTTTTTAAATCAACTTTATATGACTAAATTATAAAAAAAACTCAGGGTCTGAGTTTTTTCTTTTAAGCCACAAACTTCTTTAAAAAAGTTCTAAATCAGTGTGCTCAAATCCACGCTTCTAAAAATAYGTCTTTTGTGGCTCGTCTACTGTCTGATTATCCTGAATGGGCTGCTTGAGGACATCTATTTATAGGAAATTCAATCTTAAATGTCAAAGTTACTCTTGTTCAAATATAGTTAAAGACACCAAGCCGCTAAGTCAGTTCAGCTTCATAAATAATAGCTGCAGACTCGTCAAATTAATCTTCACAAAAGAGCTGAATTAATTTTAATCCCACAACACACTTCACTCCCACATGAACTAAACATGAACGATGACTTCTTCAAAGATTTTCCTTTTCCTGGTCTGGTGAGAGCAGACTGTTCATGACCATGAACTTGAAAYTTTAGCAGCTCGTGGTTTCCAGGAGCAGGAGGGGAACCCAAGTTGGTCCGGCTCATATTACTCCCATCGTCATCATCATCATCATCGGCCCAACTGCCAGCTGGATTACAGCAGCACCTGTCCTCTGTCTGCTTAAGTTGTTTTAGCTTTACAAGAAGATTTCGTTGATTTTTCTTTTTTCTCTTGGCTTTAAAGTGCCTGTGACATGCATATTCTTCAAATACAAAAAGTCAAAGAAAACATCTTTATATTTAAGAAAGTTGGAATAATACACATGATTTAACCCATTTAGTCTCTTAACTGGCATATTTTCTTTTGAACTTGACTCACCCAAAGTGAAACAGGAAGTGACATCAAAGGGGAACTCTTTAACAAAGAAAAATCTGGTCTTTGTTTATTGAAACAATATTATTTGAACTATCTCTGATAGTGACTCAAAATAATCTTAAGAAACATCAGATTCTTCTCTACAGTCTGGGTTGTTGGCTGTTGTAGCAACGCTCTGTTTACATGCAGACATTCCCCTTTGACATCACTTCCTGTTACTTCACAGGCAAATATCTCAACAACTGTTCATCTCAGCGACAAGAAATTTCTTTTGCAACATTTTATCAATGTCCTCTTTCTAAAAATGCATTCATATGTTTTACAAAAATTTGACGTCACAGGCACTTTAAGAATCAGTTGAATTTTCATGTTTATTCATGTAAAATATTCATGTTTTTTTAGGCAGGAACAACCTCAAAGTGCTCAAAATAAAACAAAATATATCCTTTCTACATATAATCTAAGTTAGCTACATGACATGATGCACATTTATTACAGCTGAAAATGTGTCTGTCAGTATAAAAGTGAAAAATACTGCATGAGATTACGTCAGATGTTAATCTCARGGTTTAACCAAATCAGCTGCAACTCCATCACTTCCCATCAAAAAGATCATCAGGGTAAGATGTGTGTTTCTTWAAGGAACCAAAATAAAACTATAATATAGCACATATCGATCTTATAAATAAATGTAAAAAAAACCCTCCTCTAAGCTTGTTTGGGATAAATTATCACATTAATTTAATTATCTGAGTTATAACTGAATTTAAAAACAGGACGATGCAACTAGTTTAATGAAGAATCTGTCTCCAGTCATTAAATCAGGTGTTTATTTATGTAGGTAAAAATATCTTTAACAACCTGGTAAAATACATTAGAAATCAGGAAATAGCTTCTAATTTATTCAAAATTTACCCCCTCAAGTGTGTCCTTTACACACCTATTATAAGACTTATGTGAGAGGATAAACCAACACACCTGATCTCCACCTGTGTGTCTCTGTRTGAAACTATGGTTGATTATCAAACTGTATTCTTAGTGAGTTTAAAGGGCTGATACAGTAAATGGTTGAATAAAGGTGAACATAATTTCAGCCAATATGGTTTGAGTATTATTGCATCACAACAGAAACATTTGGTGTTCAGCTGTTGATGGGTGCAGACAGTTAAACTGAGCACACACTGAAGACATGAACAGAAAACCCTGGTCGCACAACTGTGGGTGCGTCAGACCCCGTCCCCCACGGTGCGTCCCCACCAACTTTCAGCACAAAGTTACGCCCTTGACCACAACAGTAACATTACTGAAACATATTTTCTCACCGTAAAACTCGTGTTTTGCTTTTGACACACRAGTTCTCAGAATCTCAGTCGTGCGAGAAGACAGGTGGTTAACCAACAAACTGAGCCTTCCTGAGATTTGCTTCCCGGCACGGGGGTTCTGTCCGAGTTTGTTCCAGAAAGTACGGGACGTTCGGGGGAAGGGCTATAAAAGCAGCCCACACCACCACAACTCTTCCACCATGTTCGTTAGACGTTCAACCGCTCTGTCGTAAAACAGTGATGTAAAGGAAAACTGATGAGGCAGCAATCTCAGGCAGCAAAAATAAAATTTTGCTTCAATCAACTTTTAGGATACTTTCCATCTCAGTTAAGTATAATCATGTTATATCTAATTGTTAAGGCTGCTGCTTCTAATACATTTTATAGTTTTTTTTCTTTTTCTTCATCATTAATTTAATTATTTATTCTTTCAGTGCATAAATGTGACAATAAACTCTGAAAAACTGAGTGTTTATTGGTTTAAACCATAATGTGGGGGACTCTCCCAACACTTTTCCTGTCAGCAGCTCAGTCTCTGTGAGGAACACGCTCTCTGCAGACGGGACAGGGTCGCAGCTTGTCCACATTTTGTTTTCATTCGTAATCTGTCTTCCTGTTTGAAAGAAAAAGCGAAAGAACCAGAGCCAAAAGCAACATCCCGCTCTGTGCTGCAAATTTTGTAGGATTTTGCGCTTCTGTCACAAACTGAGACACGTTTATAAACAATACAAGAGAGATGAGCTCAACTGAGCCCATTAAATATATTTATTAGATAATTTAATTTTAAAAAGTATATTATGATGGTAGAACACACCATTGTTTACTGTCTTAGTCTTTCTGCTTTGCTCTAAATTTCAAGTAGCCATCAAGAAACAGCCAACATTTATTTTTAAATTAGTCTTGAAAAATTGACATTTGTTTTCAAAGTGTCAGCTCTGCTGGTGAAAGTTGAGACCTGGTTGATTTATTTCTGATTTCTTATCTGGGCCTGGTTTCCTGTCAGCAACTCTTAGCGGATCGCTTCTATTTTAAACTCGAACTATAAGGTGAGTTCACAATAATTGGACAAGTAAGTATTTTGTTATTTTTTCCTACTAATATACAAAACTTGTACTACTTGTTTACCAAAAATAAATACAATTGGTTCCTTAATATTTTATTTACTTACTGATGTTTTTCCACAAAAAACTGCAACAAACTAGCTGAGCTTTAGCATCTAGAGTTAAAAACTGTAGCTTCAAACAGAGATGCTCAATATTTGGTTAATTTTAAGCAGTCACTCTTGTCCTTTTGTTTTTCATACCACAGTCCAATTGTTACAGAGTTGTCAAATAACTAAGTACAAATACTTTGTTACTGTATTTTAGAATTTTTGGGTATCTGCACTTTACTTGAGTAAATTTTTTTCAGCCAACTTTTTACTTCTACTCCTTACTCCCATTTCATTCCTGCTCGTTATTGTTAAAWAATAATAATAATTCTATCCCAATAGACTGTGTCTTTGAATTTATTTGTGGTTGGATGAGAAGTATAAATATATACCATTCTGACACAGTAGTTTGTACACAATCCATCACAGCTGCATGCCTTAAAAAAAGTATTTGGAAAATCTAACCTCTCATTTTTACTCTTTTACTTTTAATACTCAAGTACATTTTATGTCAGAAATTTACTTTTGATACTTAAGTACAAAATAAATCAGACACTTTTAGAGCTTTACTCAAGTAATATTCTTAAAGGAGACTTTAACTTTTATCAAAGTAATTTTATTATAAGATACGTGTACTTTCACTCAAGTATCACTTTGTGGTACTTTATACAACACTTACAGAGGAGGTGGATTTTTGACACTTCCCACAAAACTACATAATGAGTGGTTACACTAAAATTAATGTTTTTGAATTGACAGGAAAAAAAGTTTTTTTTGAGCCAGAGTTATTTGTAGACATATTCAGTGATTTCTTACGGTCTTGAAAGTGAGATAAAACAATTGTTTTTAATAYTTAAAAAACCTTGAAAATTATCATGATGAAGCATTAGAATATTGTCTTAAGTAATGTTTTGATGTAATTTTGTGTTATTTTCTCCGTATGCTGATGGTGAATTGAGTTGGTGGTTGATTTTATTTTGTAAGTAGGGGCAAATATAAGTTTATACTTATTTCTGCTCCTTTTCATGCATGACTTTATTTTATTTAGTTTTGTTTTCTATTTTTATTGGATGACTTGTTTTGTATTCATATTTCAATTCATTATTGAAATAAATAAGCAAACAGAGTTTCATTAAAATTCATCCAGTAGTTTATGAAATATTTTGCTGACAGGGTTGAAAGATAAAAATATATGTCTAGTTGGGATTCCAACAAACTTTTCTTTAAGGTGGTCAGTGCTAATCACTGCATCACTGTCCTGCCCTCAATTAKGGCCTCCTATTTCCTCCTCAAAGTCGGTATTTATGCAAGATGGGTGGGATCAGAAACGGTCCCCGGTGGTCGATGCCTTCAAGAATTTTAACAAGTCCCAACTGCTCTCCTCTTCCTCCCTTYTGCAACATTTCCACAAAGAGTACGAAGCATCGTTTCTGCCAACACGACAATAAGGTAGGTTTCTAAATCTTATTTTCCAGAGTTGTTTCTTCTCGGCGATGACTCTCGCAGCCTGGAGCTTGATGTGCGGACAGATTAGACTAAAGTGGCCGTTAATGACGGTTGTTTAGCTGTCTCCTCCACTTCCTCTGACAGAGTCTTCGTCCAGCAATCCCTTCTCTTTCAGATCACTCGCTGAGCAAAATGGAGGTGAAGGTGTTTGTGAACGGCGTCCCTCGAATGGTCTGTGGAGTCACGGAGGAAACCACGTGCCAAGAAGTGGTCCTGGCGTTAGCCCAAGCCTTGGGTACGTACACCTGCTGCTCCGTCTGCTCGTAGAAATCATCTTCACGCAAGATCTGAGCTTTTAAACGAAACTTTTTTCAGGTCAGCCCGGACGCTACACCCTACGCGAGAAGTTTAAAGATTTCGAGCGGTGCATGACGCCCGASGAACGCCCTCTGGAGACCCTGAAGAAGTACGGCGATCAAGCCAGGGAGGTCCAGCTCACCCTGCAGCTCAACAAGTCCGTGGTCTGGGACGAGATGGGCAGAGTACAGGTGGGCAGGTACCAACCGTGCCCGCCGCTGAGGCGAAAAGATCCAGGCGCCAGAACGAGGAGAGGCAGCAGCTCGCTGATTCTGCAACGCCAAAGCTTGCCRCCGTTGACCTGTTTGAAGGAAGAAGGCGAGCAGAAGCAAGAGGAGCTGAAGAGGACTAAAAGGAAGTCCCTGACACTCGTGGAGGAGGCCTGGGAATGGCTGGAGGGTCTGGGGAAGGGGAAGGTCTACAGCACGGCCCGTGATAAGCAAAGCAAGAAGAGAACCGACAAAAGGAATCGTGCCTCTTTGGATTTAACCCTCGCTGTGGAGAAATGTACCTCAGAGCAAACTGGCAGAGGTCAGAAAACTCCAAAAGCAGACCTGGACCATCAAACATCCTGTTGCATCGGAAACCAGACCAGCGATAAAGAWGGCAAACACTCGAAGAAAACCCAGGAGGTGAGGCTAGACTTCAAGTCGAGCTGCACGACGATCGATGACGAGAAAAACCGCCTGAGAGAAACCATCATTCAGCAGCTGCTGTGCCTGCAGGACCTGCAGGCCCAAATAACACGCATGGACAGACAGATCTTTGAGCTGGAGGAGCGACAGAAGGCCAAAAGGGCCCAAGAGGACGCCTGCGCGAGATTAGCCGAAGAGCAGATRAAAGTCTGGGAGAGCGAGTTGAAAGCGGAGGAGGGTTACGAGAAAGATCTGCAGCGTCAGTTCCTGGAGCTGAGAGCCAAAGCTGGGGAGTGCAAAGCTCAGCTGGAGGGGTTTAAACACAGAATGGAGGGCTTTGATTCCTCAGGTGGTCCGGTCCATCGGGAGGACCCAGACACGGCTGCAGAAGTTGGCGCAGACGCTGAAGTCCCAACGGGTTCGACCGAGGATGGAAATCTGGACGCAAATGTTAACAGGAAGTTCCTGCCCAGGGAAGACCCCAACCCCCCTCCTCCYCCTCCTCCTCAAGCTCTGGTGCCGCCCAATCAGATAAAGGAGCGGCGGCTCACGGGACCCACCGAGATAAAGGAGTGGTGGACTCGCTGGTCGGAAACCCAAAACGCTCAGACGCAGACAAAAAAGGTGATTCACCGCTCGGAGCTGACCATTTATCTGGGAAGTACCAAGGTTTAGAAAACAGGAAGTTGATGTTTTATTGTATTAAAGCTCTGATTATTCCAACAGAATATTATATATTCATTTCAGAAACTGTAATAATTGTACCAAACCTYCAAAAATACATTATTTTACTTTTATGGTAGCATTAAAAATCACATCTGTGTATTTTTTTTTCACTTTTTACTCCTAAATATGAAAAAATGTTTTTCTGTGGATGAGTTTGAGTTTACTGCTTTCCTTGACATGAATCAAAATTAACTAAACTGAAAGTTTTTACTCTTAAAGATTGAAACAAAGCTGGCGTTGATAACATCAAAAATTCATTTTATGGACTGAATTAAAACCAGGCGGTCATTTTCTACAGTTGTGTTGTTTTTCCAATCATCTTAGACAATCGAGTTCATTTTCTCGCATGTTTTTAGTGTTATAATCCTGTGCAATTTCCCAAGATGTTACGTTCAGAGTTTTGTAAGTTTTAACTTAATACAATCCAATCACATCAAACTGATGATTAAGTCCAATTTGGACAGAGCGCATTTTCAGACTCATGGATTATTAGGGTTCCTGGATCATCCTGGTATCCCGAGTGGTTCCACAGATGTGGCCCGATCTGTCTTCCTAACCAGCAAAAGGGTTCAGTTAATTAAAGTCAACAGTTCTGGGGGAGGACAAATTATTTTATTTATTTACTGTTATTTWACCAGGCAAGTCCCGTTGAGATCTCAGATCTCTTTTTCTAGAGAGGCCTAAGCCTGAAGGCAACCTATTGTACATGTTTGTCATAAATTTAAAAGTTTACCACTAATATAAAACTATTTTCATATTAGGTAAAACAAAAACACACAAAGGGGTACCCCACTTGGTGGACCACATAGGGGTTTGACACGTGCTGTGGATCAAGTATTTATTTTGTTTATTTTAACAAAATGCAACTGTTGCAAATGTTTTTAATCAATACAATAAAGTTGCCCATTTCTCCACATACCAGTTTGGTATTTAATCCTTAGTTCGATGTGAACGGTCACAAATATCTGTAAACCTGACAGACTTAAAACATTTTTGTACCCTAAATATAAAGTAATATTTTAAAGGCGCCTCTTTTTTACTGCCTACATCAGAGAAAATGTTAATATAAAAGATAACTCAAATCTTGATTTTCATAAAACTTTAATTCAATTGTTTCATTCAAGACCATTAACAAAAGTACATGAGAACCTCCGTACGCGGTTCAACTGAAGCTCGTTTGATCAAAGAAATTACGGTAGTTACTGTAACTTAGTTTCTGAGGCACGACAGCTCGCCCATCTCATCTCCAGAGGGGAAGAAAAAAAAAAGACTGACATCCTGATTCACAACGCTGATTTATAAACTAAAAGTCTCAGAAAGTTTTCGTCCTTTTCCTTATTTTCTTTTATTTATTTTATTACATGAAGTATGATGTTCCACCCAGAAAGAAAAAATTAAAATTAAAAAAAGAGCAAACATTACATATAGTATAGTTCAACCCACAGGTTCGAGATGCATATCTGTATTATTTCTACAAGGAGGGAAAAAAAAACAAAAAGCCACCCTAAGATTGTTTTCAATAATTTTATGGTTGGCTGAAAACAGTATATATCATTTTTTTGTTTATTTTTTTCTTTTTTTTTTGCTTTTATTTAATTTTGTTTGTAGTTTTTTTAGGCACCTTATTCTTACTTATTTAATATTAGCAGATCAAGTTTTCATAGAAAAAAAAAGCAAACGTGTGTGCAAGGAAAAAAATAAACGCAAAAGAAAAACAATTTTTCAGAGATAAGATGCCACAAGGAATTCTGCACCTGGGGGTGAAAAAAAAAAAAAAAGGGTGGAGCATGTGAATACCAAAAAGGTACCTCAAGGCTCTATACTGGTAAAGGTAAATCCTGTCAGAGAAAACTACGTCCACAAACGTCTCACGCACGCCATGCTTTCTCATCAGCGTTTCAGTAAAGCGTTTTTAAAACTGCTCAAAAAACCGAGCAGAGAAAATAATTCCCCAAAAAGCTCGCACATGTGAGAAATATGACGATCCTCCTTATGGAGGGAACGTCGCTTTACGCGTTTTGGAGGAAAAGCATACAGCAGAGGAAACTTTGATAACAAAATGATGACGCTGGGGGCATCAGGAGAAACGAGAGAAAAAAAAAAAAGACATGCCAGCAATCAACGCTCATTTACTCACGCTAAACGAACAGTTTACAGGTGCAGAATTCCAGACGAAGCGGATCGGGACGCGAACAGCCAAGCAGACGTAGAGGGGCTCCTTAGAAAATAAACACCTCCGATACACACTAATCACTTCTAGGACACGTCACGCACTCACACTCCCATGTTTACTGCAGAATGAAACCATCAAGAACATACATGGAAGGCAGGGAACTGTGGAATACAAAATAATAAAAAAGAAGGAAAAAAAAAAAAGAAGTAGTTCCCTTACTGATAACAATGAGCAGAAATTACACATGCCAATTACTTGCATGCGTACGTATGTTTTGTATATGAGTTGATTCACAAGCGTGTTTCAGATCGGAGTTCCCTTATCGATGGCGTCTAGCGGGGCAGGTTCTGTATTGCTCAGTCGATAACACCTGGCTGACGGGTCTTGCGTTCCACACTGAAGCCCTGCACAAAAAAAAAAAAAAAAAAAAAAAAAAAAAAAAAAAACTAATTTTAATATCATTTGATCCAAGTTTCCAAGAAAAAAATAAATTACCCCCAACTGTTTAAACAGCATAAAAACTCCAACCCTCAAATATAATGATACCCCTACTTTCACACACACTTCAGGATCTTTCAGCCCTCAAGTGGGGAGAAAGGAGACGAGATAGAACTCTATGCCAACYGTCGCTGATGTCCTCAGTCACGGATTGATGGAGAGCATTTATAAGTCTCCCCGCCTCAGCGACGGGTGGGGGTGGGGGGTTAAAATAAAGCAAGAACAAAAAAAAAAAAGGCAGCGCAAGCTTGTGTGTCGCTGAAAACAGACGGAGCAGGCACACAATTGACATCCACTGCTTCTTTTTATCTCTAGGGTTAGCAAAAGAAAAAAAAAATAACTGTTGTTTATACGTTTAACTGTGTGTAATGTATTCTACAGTGGGAGGGCAGAGGGAGAAAWTATAATTCATCCCTCTCGACACAAYATCCTACTCACCAAATTGTATGGACTATTTTGAGGGTTACATTTTCCATATTGTACACACAAATATGGAGTATTTTATAACAGTCTGTTGAACTATACAACTTTTATTTATTTATTTAATTTATTTTTACAGGTCATTTCATTTAGTGGATGTTACATGATGGTGATAACTGAACATACTGACATGAAAAAGTAAGCCGATGCTGCAGGGATACGCGCTCTGTGCGACATAACGAGTGGCAGGATTAAACAAATAGATTTATTGTCAAAGGTAATTTGCAGGTGGACAATAATAAAAGTACAGAAAACTGTGGCAGCGTTAGAGCCGAGCGTACCTTTGAGTTGTCGGGACCACGGGGCTGTCTGACGATGACCAGGCGAGGAGCACTGGAGTCGTCCAGAGTGATGCTCTTCAGTCGGTTCACCAGGCGGTCAGGACGCGGTGTTGCCACTGGTTTAGGACCCTCGCTGTTACATTAAGAACACCGGGATTCATGAGACAGCACAATAAAATACTAATTTGCTCAGTTATATAACGTGAGCTTTAGGCTGCGACGTCCTGGTCCATACCTGACTCTGCGCACGTTACAAGCACTACATTTTCCCGTGCGTTGATTAAAGACGACGGAGAACTCCACTTCGTCTCCCGTCTGGAGCTCTATGCCATCCTGCACTTCTTTTACGTGGAAGAACAGCTTTTTGCTCTCACCCACTTCGTATGTAATGAAACCAAACTGGGAGAAAATTTAAAAAAAAGAGAGAAGTTCAGGATTTCTTTCTTCTTTTTGTTTTAAAGTTCATCACAAAGCAGGAAAGTGAAACGAGCCTTACCTGATCTTTAACGCACTCCACCGGGGCTCTGCGCTGAGGGATGACGTTGCAGGCCATCTTCTGAGCAGTTTGGGTGACGGTGCAAACCTGGAACTTTACATGCTCTCCTTTCTGAAGACAATCTGCCTTGTTGGTCATCCCCATGATTCCAAAGGGATAAGTGGGCCCTTTTGCTCCACCTAGGAGGGGAAGAAAACAAATTAAAATAAAAAACACAATTTAATTTTCCCTTGTATTAAAGCGGTGCATGTAACATTCTGAGTTGCCACCAACCTTCCTCGATGACTTCAATAAGCCCTTGGTATTCTGTCTGTGAGGGGTCCACGCTGCGTATGGGACGAATGACTTTCCCTGCCATCACTGTTGTACCAACATCCTCACCAGCACCGTTCACTGCAACAGAAAAATTTATGATTTCACCCGTAGAGCTTTAACTTTAACTWAAAAAAAAAARGACACAAACCTCTCRTATCCGCSGCCATCTTGGTAACCTTTTCTGCACTGACTTTGTTTCCTTTTCCTTTAGAAAGAGTGTACTCCACCGTGTCRCCCAGGTCCAAGTTATCCACGTCTCCACACATTTCACTGACAAAAAGAAAAGGTTTGTCAATCAATACAGAGACAACTACACCGCCCCCCACAAACCATCTCAGAAATAAACCCTTACCTGTAATGAAAGAAGACTTCTTGGTCATGATTTGCCGTTTCGATGAAGCCAAAGTTGTCTTTGAGGGCAGCGACAAACCCGTGCACCCTCTTAGAGTTGGAGTTTGGGGTGCGGTTGAGGATCCTGATGCCCACTGCGCTCTGCTGGCCAGTTCGCTTCACTTCATTAATTGAGAACTCCACCTAGAGGACAAACATTTTTAAAGTCCCACAGGCACAAACACTACACTTCTAAAGGCCAAATTATGCAGCAGATTGGAAGGGTTACAATACAATAATCCCTCATAGTGGGAAGCTATTTAGTCTTTTTATGTAATTTCAAAGAAAACACATTTTTCAGTTTATACCTTGTCTCCAACCTGAGGGTACGATCCTCCTTCCAGATCCTTGGCATGATAAGGTATAGTGAGCTTCTCTCCACAGTCTTCATATGCAAGCACTCCTTCCTCAGTTTCCTAAAGAAAGGGTGACAGATCAGCACACGTTAGCTTGGATTTATTAATATCAGCAGCACTGGATGGCCTAAGATAAAATTTACAATCTCCCCAAACAAAAAGCACTAAACTAATTGAAGTGATTAGAGTACGTGGAGCATTAGGCTGTGGTCCATAAAACCAAGAGCAGAACAAGTGGGAACAATTAGCTGATTAGTAATAAACTGATTAAGCATCAGCTTTCAGTTAGAACCTACAACAACCATTTTGAGAAATGATTTTCTGAAAAAGACTCAAGAGGAACAGTTAAAATCCCTCATTTTAAATATTGATGCAAGAATCTGCACACAGTAAAATGAAAAAGTTATTTATATTGTTCAGATCAACAGAATCGGTGATGTAATTAAGTGTTAAATGGTGATCAAACACCATGCCGTCAACTTGATACAATCACAGATATGAAAGAGGCAAGAACCAACCTTTTCTACAACTTTTCCCTTAAAATATAAAAACACAACCCATTAGACAGCCAAGCTTCTATGTTAGCTGTAAATGCAGAAATCCAATAATAGATTTGCTGGATTTTCAGCAGAAATACAGAAAAACGTTTCTTACAGATGCACTAATATTTAAAAATATTCAACTAAAGAAATAAGCAGCTTCTTTTAAAGAGACGTTTCTCACGTAGCTTCATGCAGTTCTCAGTCCTACCTTGTCTTTTTTCTAACCAAAGAAAAGCACGAGGAGTATGTGGCCATCGTAGAAGAAAACAAAAACCCAACATTAGAACTAAAGCAGAAACAGGTAAAGAGGGGTAGATGAGGAGGGTGGAGATTAAAACGGAGGCGTTTCTCACATTTGCGCAGGCTTGTACCTTCTCCTTGCCCTTCATCGGACTCGCATTCTTGTTTGAGGCTCCGACGAGCTCCTTCTCCACCACGCCGACGAAGCGCTGCTCGGACTGGGTGTGGAAGGACACGGTTCCTTTAGGGAGTTTCTTGATGCGCACGGCGTGGTTTCTCTGAGCCGACAGCATGTCCTGGAAGTTAAACACCGGCTTTAGTTTCTCGCCAAACCGACAATCAAAATGTGTTCACTTAAGCAATAGCAGATAATACATACTTTTGTGAAAAGCTTAACAGAACCTACAGGCACAACAGTGAACTCCACTTCATCTGAGATATGAAGCTGACTCTCCTCCAGGACCTCGCTGAAGTGGAAGAACATCCGTGCGTCCCGGTCCACGCACTTTATGAACCCAAAGCCGTCGCGTATAGCCGCAATCACGCCCTGATGCAGACAGACGACCGGTTAAACAAACATTCACCTGACTGGACGTGAGCATCCCGCCTTCCCAGGTGTACAATGTCGTAACGCGGAACAGGATGTCTAACCATTTCACGGGTCTCCTTGGTGAAGTTGAAAGTGTCCGGGAGGATCTCGATGTTGGTGGCCCTCTCCAGTTTATCTCTGCGATCTGTGGAGATGTTGTATTGGATGTGGTCTCCCTCCAACAGAGTCACTTTAGATTTCGTGTCCTTCTCTCCGAAAGGCAGCTCCTTATCCGTGAAACCGATCTTCGCACTGATCCGACCGGGCAGAGGGTCGTTCTGTGGAAACAGACAGGATTAGCAAATGCTGAAACGCAGCTCCTCGTCAGGCAGTTTGGTAAATCTACTTGCCTGGTTTTTTGTGGGAACTTTGGGAATAACGTTGACCACGGTGCCTTCAAATTGCTCGATGCTGATGTCCTCAAAGATGACCGTTCCCTGGGGGAGCAGCCTCACATCGGTAGCCACTTCCTTGCCCTAAAGAGTGACAGAGGCATAAACAATCAGGCTTTTTTTAAACATATTGAGATAGGCAGTGTTGTATAAAGTACCACAAAGAAATACTTGAGTAAAAGTACAAGAATCTTACCAAAAAATAACTTTGGTAAAAGTTTAAAGTCTCCTTTAGGAATAGTGCTTGAGTAAAAATCTTAAAGTATCTGAT